AACTGGGTCAAACAAATATAGGAACCATAATTTAGGATGCATCTAGATAAAACAACTTTAATCATTCGTTTCACAACCGTGAACAATTTTTTAAAAACTAAACCTTCTTTACTTTTTAATCTTTGTATATTGTATATAATTGGTTCACACCAAGAAATATTCTTAGGAACCACCATATCTGACTATGATGTGTCAAATCTGTGCACCGCAGTACGTGGGAGGAGATCAAAACAAAGAATCCAAGGGCAAAAAAACGACTGGTGTATTTTTTTGGTGGATACCCTTGAGTTTAAGCTGGCACATTAAAAAATATTTGTTTTTTAAAAATCTTTGAGCTCAAAAATTCAAATTTACCACATTACCCATTTTTCCTTTCCCGCATGAAAGATTTTGAAATTTTAAAAATAAGAAATTATAAATTTTTTTGTTCAAAATAGATTCCATTTATCGTAGTATTGAGATCTAGTCAACGGTTAAGAAACAATATAGAAAGCAAAGTCGATTTTATGATTATAAGATATAACTAGTTATACAGAACCCAGCTTTGTCTAAAATTTTCTCTCTAATAGTCAACCCACTCAACTTAGAATGTTGAAATTAAGTTTAAAAACATTCCTGAGTTTGTCAAAAAGATTTGAGGCAAATCGGTGAATGGGTTTCCGAGTTGAACAAACAAAGGCTACATCAGGCTACATGCTTTATTTATTGAAAAAATAATTTGAGTGAGAAATGTCTTGTTTTCAAGTTATATAGTTGTTTAATTGCTAAAAGTAAACAAAGTAAAAAAACTTTTCTTTAAAAAAATATCAGTAAAAGCTGACAAAAAAAATCGTCTGAAATGTTTTTGGTTGGTTTTTATTTGATGTATCTTCTCTTGATCTCTGCGCCTCTGGATCTGGTTAGAATACAATATAATTAAGTAAATGTAAATATGAAAGAGGTTGCGTGATTTTAAAGATATTAAAACCTACAGATTATTTCACTTTTCAACGCACTTCTTTTATTTCAAACTTTAAAAATAAACTTTCCAAAAAAAATATTGCTGAACAGACGTAAATATTAAGACTTATTATAAGTTTAATCAAATTTGTTTTGGGTTGTTTTCAAGACCAGCATAATATACTCGAGACCAGCATAATGAAACTGAGCAAATAAAATAAAACTTCCAAATCTTAATAAACAGCACCTTCCTTCCATGCTGGGTCCATCTGTTTAAATGTATATTGTGTGCATCTTATTTTGAATATAAGCATCTTCCTAATGAGCTCTGGAGTCAGTTGGTAGATTGTTTCCCCCCCCCCCCCTACACCCCGGCAGCTGCATATAAGATAAAAATGTGAGGTATTTGAGTTTAAGTCCTGACGGTTCATAATAATTATGTCCCTTCACTCTTATTATTTATTGTTCTTCAGTACTTCAGCCCACCTGGAGAACTTATTGAACCTGGAGAACTTTTAAAACCTGGAGAATTCATTGAACCTGGAGAACGTATTAAACCTGGAGATATTATAGAACCTGGAGAACTTATTAAACCTTGAGAACTTATAGAACCTGGAGAACTTATTGAACCTGGAGAACGTATAAAACCTAGAGAACTTATATAACCTGAAGAACTTATTGAACCTGGAGAACTAATTAAACCTGGAGAACTTATTGAACCTGGAGAACTTAATGAACCTGGAGAACTTATAAAACCTGGAGAATATATTGAACCTGGAGAACTTATAGATTTGGAGAACTGATAGAACCAGGAGAATTTATTGAACCTGGAAACTTATTGAACCTGGAGAAATAAATGAACCTGGAGAACTTCTTGAACCTGGAAACTTACAGAACCTGGAAAACTTATTGAATCAGGAGAACTTATTGAACCTGGAGAATTATTAGGACCTGGAGAAATTTTAAAACCTGCAGAACTTATAGAACCTGGAGAACTTATAGAACCTGAAGAACTTATTGAACCTGGAGATCTTATAGAACCTGAAGATCATTTTAAAACTGGATAAATTTTCGAACCTGGAGAACTTACAGATCCTGTAGAACTTATGGAACCCGGAGAACTTTTGGAACCTGGAGAACTAATAGGATCTGGAGAAATTATAAAACCTTGAGAACTTGTAGACTGGGAGAACTTATAGAACCCGGAGAATTTTTTGAACCTGGAGAACTTATTGAGCCTGGAGAACTTCAGAAGAAAATATTTAAAAACCTCCAAAAATATATTGGTTGTGGAAATATTTCCCCGAAGTTCTTTAAATGTATAAAAAAAATAAAAAATAAAAATAAAAGAAAAGGAAAGGAAAAGTTACATATTTATTGTTTATATTATATTTAATATAAACTGGTGGAGAATGGTCAGTATTTTTAGACGATGACCTAACAACTTTTAGAAATAAAAATGATAGATTTATTTGCTACGCTAAAAATATAAAATAGGCTTTATGAGTTGGGAAAAAGATGTTGGTTCAACGCAATCATTTTAATTCGTGCCGATTTTTGACATCCTTATGTTTAATTATATCTTTTACTCTTTTTAATCTTTTTAGTCTTTTCTTTGTAAAATCGTCTTTGCTTTCTTCGATTCTTTTGCAAACATAGCATGTGTTAGAATTAAAACATTTGTTCTGTTAAATTAAATTCTGTTTAAAATTCGATATAAGATTAATATTTTAAAGCATAGAAAAGAGTCGTTTATTCCATACAATATTTTAGGGAAATTGTGAGGAGGAAGTAGTCTAATTTTAATAGATTTTACTCTAGGAATATAAAAATCATTTATGTTTCTAAGATTTGCGTTTTTGATATTTTTTTTGATAATGTAAAATCTTTTTTAAATGTTGGTGGTAATTGGTCTCCTTTCAATTGAAATAAAGATTTTATAAAAATAAAGGTTCCTAATTTTCTGAAGTGGAGTATGTTCAAAGCCAAAAAGAACTTGCGCTGTGTGACTTATTCTAGGTAACCCCATGGATAGACGAATAGCTTTCTTTTGCAATGATTCTCTCTTACCAGTGTTTGAAGTTAGCATTAGGAATGTTGAACTAAATTCTTAATGAGAGTGGAAAAAGGAGTAATAAAACAATTTCAAGGTTTCAAAGCTTCAAAAGTTTTTAATTTTTTTATAGCTTAAAGTGAAAAAGTTTATCGCCTGTATATCTTTAAAATAGTCATTAAAGTTCAACTTAGTATCCAGCCATATTCCCAAGAATCTAAATAAATCTTTTTCTTTTATGCGTTTAATTTTTCGTGTAGTTTCTCTTAGTTTAAAGAAAACACCGGGACAGTCGTTTTGCGCAATTAGAGAATTTGAAAATAAAATTGCATTAGTTTTCTCAAAGTTAACACTAAGTTTATTAGACATGTACCAACAAGTTATTTTTTTCTAATTCTTTATTTATTGTGCCTGTAAGAGTATATAAGTTTTTACATTGTGATGCCACATTTGTGTCGCCGGTAAAGGCTACACTAAAAAGTTTGTTAGATTGGAAGAAGTCATTTACATAGATAATAAACAGTAAACAGCTTAGACTTCATCCTTGAACAAGACCCATCAATAATATTTCGAATAAGTCTGAGAAGGTACCATTTATATCGAATTTTTGCCCCCTGCCGGGTAAGTAAGATGAAATGTGTTGCCCCTGATTCCTGCGTTTTCAAGCTTTTTCAGAAGTATCTTGTAATCAATACAGTCGTAAGCTTTAGAAATATCTAGCATGACAAAAAGATAGATTCATTATTATTTAGTGCGCTGAAAATATAGTTTAAAAGTTTAGTAATTGCTTGAATATAATTACGTCCTGGCAAAAACCAAAATTGATTTGTTTTGATAAAGTTAATATTGTTGAGAAATGAAAGCAGTCTTTTATGTAGAAATTTTTCCAATATTTTAGAAAATCCATTGATTAATCCAATTGGACAAAAATTAGATAAGTCGTCTTTTTTATCAGTTTATAAATAGGAATAGTTTTGGACATTTTCCAACAATTAGGGAATACACCTGTCTCAAGGCTTAAATTATAAATGTAAGATAAAGCAGGGGCTATTTCTGTTGGTATATTTTTAAGCAATTTTCCTGAAACTCCATTTAAATCCTCAGAGGTTTTCTTTTCGAGTCTGTCTGGAGAACTAATAGAACCTGGAGAACTTCTTGAACCTGGAGAACTAAAAGAACCTGGAGAACTAAAAGAACCTGGAGAACTAAAAGAACCTGGAGAACTTTTGGACTTGGAGAACTGATAGAACCTGGAGAACTTATTGAACCTGGAGAAATTATTGAACCTTGAGAAATTATTGAACCTGGAGAATTCATTGAACCTGGAGAAATTATTGAGCCTGGAAAACTTACAGAACCTGGAGAACTTATAGAACCTGGTGAAATATAGAACCTATAGAACGTATAGAACCTTGAGAACTTATAGATCCTGTAGAACTAATAGAACCCGGAGAACTTAAAGAACCCGAAAAAAAATTTAAAACCTGAAGAACTTATAGACCTAGAGAACTTATAGACCTGGAGAATTTATAGAACAAGGAGAATTTATAGAACCTGGAGAACTTATAGACTTGGAGAACTTATAGAATCTGGAGAACTTATAGAACCTGGAGAACTTATAGAACCTGGAGAACTTATAGAACCTGGAGAACTTATAGAACCTGGAGAACTTATAGAACAATGAGAACTTAAAGAACCTGGAGAACTTAATGAACCTGGAGAACTTATAGAACAAGGAGAACTTATAGAACAATGAGAACTTATAGAACAAGGAGAACTTATAAAACGGGGAAAACTTTTTAATGCATTTTTGGGATAGATCGGGATCCGTTTCCTGACAGCTTTCAAAATTACTTTTAATTTCTAGAATTTAAAAAAAATGCCCCCTCCCTTTCCAGCTAAATATCCCTGTTATTTTCTTCTAAAACTGTTTTGGTTATTATAGTATTAAACTCCATTCCATGGTTCACAGCTCAGTGAGTTAAATTGCTGAAAACTTGATGCGAGAGACTTTTATTTGCATTAAATTTCAAAGATTACAGGTTTTTCTACGATACACCACTAACGTCTTTGTTATAATAGAACTAAAAATTTATAGATTTTACGAAGGAGAGGGAATTTGTAACAAAATATTTTTTACAGGTTGGTCTGCATTAGTAGTTTCAAATGACCCTTCATTTTGTAGAATGGTAGGTCCAATTCACAATTATCAAGATTGCATGAGTCATTCATATTTTTTCTTCGAAAATTGGTTATTTATAAACTTACTTTCGAGTTTCTGGTTCAGAAAAAGTGGAGAAAGTTTTTAGAATTCACGTCTTTTCAAGCGATCAGATGAAGATGTTAAGGGTATCTTTGTGAATCAGGCCTGAATTCATTTAATAAAAAGAATCACTTGACATTTCAACTACATTGTTATTCTTTATTTTAGAATGATCATTTCTGAATGATCTGTGATAATTTCATCATAATCTGGATCCTTTATAATATCTTGAACAGGAGGAGTGTACGCAGGAGCAGGATAAACAGGAGGGGTGTGTGCAGGAGCAGAATGAACAGTAGGAGTATATGCAGGAGCAGGATGAACAGGCGTAGGATTGATGTGGTGAACTCTATGAACAGGAGCAGGAGGAGGAGCATAGTTCTCATACTGATGAACGTAATTCTCCTGACTTTGGAAAAATTCCTAAAAGATTTAATTTATATTTTGAAAAATGAATATATTGTTGATTAGGCAAACCTTTGGTAAAGGTACAATATAGGTGCTGTTCTTCTGGCTTGATACATTACTCAGAACCTTTTTAAAAATTAAATCAATGATTAAGATGATAATAGTGAAATAATCCAAATTTTATTGATAATTATTATTATTGAAACGATAATAATAATTTTAGTAATAATAATAATAATAATAATAATAATATTAATAATATTAATGGCAATAATAATAATTATAATAAGAATAACTGAGACCTGTAAATATTTTAGAACTAACGATGTTGGAGCTTGGTTCATTTCATCTGCTGCTTTTCTAAGATTAGAAAGTGAATTTAAGATGGACTTCAAAGTATAGTTAAGATGGACGTCAAAATAAAGTTAAGAGTGCGTCAAAGTAAAATTAAGATGTACCTCAAAGTATAGTTAAGATGGACGTCAAAGTAAATTTAAGATGGACGTCAAAGTAAAATTAAGATGTACATCAAAGAAAAGTTAAGTGGACATCAAAGTATAGTTTAGATGGACGTCAAAGTATTGTTAAGATGGACGTCAAAGTAAAGTTAAGATGGACGTCAAAGTAAAATTAAGGTGTACATCAAAGCAAAGTTAAGTGGAGATCAAAGTATAGTTAAGATGGACGTCAAAGTTTTGTTAATATGGACATCAAGGTATAGTTAAAATGGAAGTCAAAGTAAAGTTAAGATGGACGTCAAAGTAAAGTTAAGATGGACGTCAAGTATTGTTAAGATGGACATCAAGGTATAGTTAAGATGAAAGTCAAAGTAAAGTTAAGATGGACGTCAAAGTAAAGTCAAGATGGACGTCAAAGTATAGTTAAGATGTACTTCAAAGTATAGTTAAGATGAACTTCAAAGTAAAGTTAAAATGGACGTCAAAGTAAAGTTAAGATGAACGTCAAAGTATAGTTAAGATGGAGGTCAAACAAAAGTTAGGGTGGACGTCAAACTAAAGTAACTTGCTTTAGACAATTATACATTTAAAGGAATTGAGTCTTTGCCAGAAACTCAGATTTTCTAATTCCTTTATCTTTACAACCTAATGTCGAAGATCTTAGATGTCAAATTATGAATTCTGTCACTATCAGATTGCACAGATTTAGGGATTAGAAAATTTATAAATGTAAAAACCTGAAACTAAGTTACAATACAAACCTGATTTGTTGAAGACAGTTTGCTTCTCCTTCTTGAAGAATTAGAAGACCATTAGCTTCCCTGAAATAAAATATATGGCAACATAGATTAATAACAATAAAGATAGAAGACTAGATGTCGTCTTTTCAAGATGTTGGGGTTGTTCATTTACAATGACCCTGAAGCAGAAGCCCAAAGGAGTTACGCGCATGCTCTCTCTCTGTCTTGTCATTCAGCGCAGCGTCGTCGTATCTCATTTGGGCTTCTAACTCAGAGTTCTTGTGAACGAAAAAAACCCTAAATTTTGAAGACGATGACATCTAGTGGTCTATCTGTATTGTTATTAATCTATGATTGGCAAGGTCAATCATAAGAGATGAGACTTCAAAAACAGCTGTTCAGAATTTATTTGATATTTTTTGGAACAATCATGGTTCCCTGTAAAATTTGTTTGTCTTTCTCAAACTAATTAGTGTTACCTATGTTAAATATTTAATGTTTAGTTTGACTATATTCTACGGTGAAGTATGCCTTGTAAAAGTCGTCTTCTATATCAAGACGACATTTGTAATTATAGAATTTCTCTCAGTGTCCATTTTTACCATGACAGCTAAAATGGTCGACCATTGTGAGTCCTATTTATCTATCTATCAAATAAAAACTTCAACGTAAACAATCTCTAGCAGCCAAGCTATCGTCCCCCAAAAGTACGCCCTAGCTAAGACGAACCGATTGTTCATTGATTTATAGTCATTGATTAGAAATTTTTTTTAATATTTTTAATAAATAACCTAAATGTCATATTTGTTATATTATTAACATTTAAAAGTGGTCGAAAGTAAAGAATAATGTAAAGCCTGAAACTAACTCGAATAAGTTTACACAGTATAGGAAAAAATGTATTTACAGCATAAACTAGAACAGATAATGTTTGATACTAATGGTTTGAGTAAAGCCTTAGCTCTGTGGCCTCATAACCTTCCTCGTTTCGGTTCTTCGTAACAACTGACTCTATTTCAGCATTAGCCTGGCAAATCCTATTTCCTGCTTCTTTGCGGATCAAGCCTATTGACTTGCATTCAAATAGAACTCCGGAGTCGATGGTGGCTTGGTTTTTCACGCGTTGAAACCCGCTTTAAAAGTATGTTTTATAGGATGAAATCTTTTAATGGACAAAAATTTCTGAACACACTATACTCGAGGCGGTTTATTATCCATCCTACTTTCTGTCCGACCTATAGCTATATACAAAGAGCTAATAACCTGCAATGCTTATAGGCCGTACTACTTGCAACCTGAGCTTAGCTCCGGGTTTGTATGAGGACCGAAGAAGTTATATCAATAGAACTATCCAATGGACCTATCCTTATTCCGAGTTAAAGAGCTTATACTGGTTATAATATTACCTTTCAGCCTGTGCCTCTATAGCCATAGATTTCACCATTTCTTTTGCAACAACCAAACTTTTTATCTATTCAAAATTATTAGATTAAAATCAAAACAGAATACAATGAGAACCAGAAAACTCTGAAGTAAGAAGAAGACTTTTAGAATCAAGTTATGACTTTAGATATCCAATGAACATTAATTAGACACAGTTTCAGTATTGCTTTCATGTCGTCTTCCTATTCTTCAGTTTTCTGGTTAAAATTATAGCAGACAGAAAAAAATTTTTGAGAAAAAACAGAAATCAGAAAAAACCAAATCTGAAACAAAAATATTAACAGTAACAAACACCAGAAAAGAGTAAAGACAGAAACAGAAATTACGAAAAATAAACCAGAAGAAATAAGAAAACACATAATTAGTAAGAAATTATTAAAGTGTAAAGAATTATGTAAAGAATTATTAACATAAAAAGCAGAATCAGAAAACAAAACAGAGGAAAAGAAAGATCCACCAACTGTTAATGTGATGTTTGAATTACCTCAACCCGCTGCACAGCTATACCCCATGGGTCACAGGCTGACCGGAATGTGTTAAGGATCTGTCCTGCTATTTCTTCCCTTAGAGAAGAAAAGATTTTATGATTTTTTAAGCATTATAAATACTAAACATGCTAGTTAAGAGACGATTTCTTAGATCTCGTCTGATTTTATGATAACTTCAAGATATTGACAAAGCGTCCATAAAAAATCAAAAATATACATATATATATATGGCCTACTTTTTTATCTTAAACGCTACAAAGGCTACGACTGTTTTGATAAGTTGATCTTATTTGGTTAAAAGGTAAATTAGACCAGGCCACATTTTTTAAATGCCTGCAGGACAAGGGGTGTTTTATAATGAAGCCTTCATTAAATGTATAATACAAAAAAGTCGTCTCACAATTGTCATTTTTAGAAGTATAATGTGTAAACCAGTTGCAAAAGTCTTTCTCTACATATATACAGAATTTGATCTTTCTTTTTTTGTATTTTCCAACCAACCTATCTGAAAGAAGAGATGAAAGTCTATAGGTTCCAAGGATTGAACCCATCGTGCTTGAGGCCAGACTTCGAACAGCCTAAATCAAGGTTGTATAATAAGGTATGTAGCTTACTCTTGATGCGGAAAATGTCGTCTCCATAGCATAGATTGATAAACTTCGTATATGACGTCATTCAAACCTCTATAATCAGTGATGAGCATTTTATCTATCTATGCTTAGGAGAACATTTTCCCCTTACTTTGGAGCGCATCTAGAGTTACCCAGCTAATTATGCAACCTCGGCCTTAATACAATCTGCGTAAAAGGAAGACGACTGTTACACTTCAATTTAGATTTAAATGCGTGACAAATCGATAGGACTAGTGATTGATTGAACTAACGTTCGATAATTTGGACTGAGGTTCAAATGGACTATTGTCCTCATGAACAACTATTCGCTAAATTGAAATTAAAGCCACGAGGAGACATTCCAACTACGTAGAAAATTGTTTTTTATTAATCCTGTCTAGAATGGGTCATTTCATGTTTAGCTCTAATGAACTCAATGAACAAATTTTAGAACAAATGAACAAAAAAAGTTTATTTGGACTAAAAGCGTAAAAAGTAGGGAAATCCTAAATGAATCAAATGAACAAAATCTAGAACAAATGAACAAAAAAATATTCATTTAAACAAAAGCTAAAATTTTCAAATTAGTTCAAACGAACACATTTTAGAATTTGAACTAAATTTTGAATTTTCATCATTTTGCAACAAGTTCTAAATTAGTTAAAACAAACAATTGTTCATTTTAGGACGAACATTCAAAAGCACTAAAATGTTCAAGAAAATATTTAATTTAGTCCATTTAAACAATTATTCTGTGGAAAATGTTCATTAGAACTAACATTCAATAGCACTAAAATTTCCATAAAAATATTTAGTCCATTTGAACAATTTTTATGTGGAAAATGTTCAATTTAAATAATGTTCAAATGCCATAAAAAAGCACAAGTTCAATTGCACTATAAATGATATAAATTGCAATAAATAAAAATTTGCGGGAAAACGATACAATTTGTTCAATTGAACATGTTGAATGTTGATTTTTTCATATGGAATAATGTTCAAATGAACTACAAACCGATTTGTGAACAGCTGACTTTAGTGCATTAGTACGTAAGTCCTGTCAATTATATATGCATCATTTAAATATTTAAATAAATATAAAACCAATTTTCATTTGATAAATATATTTTAACGCTTAAAAAATATTTCCTTTACACAAAATAAAATACACTTATAAGGTTGCTTAAGTACACGTCTTTCCATAGTTTTAAGAGTCTCACTCTGTAATAAAGATATTTACCTGATTATAATCAATGGATGATATTGCCGCTCTCACTGGGTCGAAAACTCTATTTTAAACAAAAATATTATTAGAATAAATGATTATTTACATGTTTTTATTCATCATTAATGTGTCGTGTGTATACTGGAAGAAAACCATTTCAAGAAAATTAAGAGGATTTTTAAAAAAGATTAGAATTTCAATTAAAGAATCCTAGTTGTCCCTGGTTGTAAGTCATTTTTCAATTGTAAGATTGTAAATAATGGTGTTGACAGATAACAGCAACACGCTAGACAAATCCGGATAATAGGCCGGTTAGGATTCTGATGGGGGTGTTTATTATCCCCAGACAATTCTTTCCCGATGGCCGAACAATACACACACAACAGAGTAACCCCGTCACAGAAATTCGATAACAAAATCTTTATTTCCTAAAAAAATAACATAAATTATAGGTCATGTTTAATTGTACAATGTTATAATGAATGTTAATAGTAGAAAAAATCTTACGAATTATTTAAGGATAGAAGGGGTGACTTATTTGTTGATCAGTATTGAAATACGTTTTTTTAACTTCTGAAAAATTACAGTTGAATATTTAACGAAATTCACTTATGCTTCTTATGAAAATATTTTGCTTAACTTTAATGATTTCACAACAACTAAAATATTTTAAGCTCCGTCGGAGGAGGACAATGGAATTTGCGGGCTGAAAATTTGGTTTGGCTGTCTCCGACAGGAGATTCCAGTAGAAGACGACATTTTATAGAGGTTTTAAAATTAATGGTTAACAAATGGATATCTAACCATCACTAAAAAAACACTAATGGGGTTTTCGAAAAACAACTTATGATTAAGATAACAACTAGTCGCGTTTATTTAGAACTATTAAAGACGACCATGTAAAAATAGTAAAATAAAGAAAAGACGACATTCTAAGAAATATTTGTGTTACCTGTAATATATTACTGCATCTACTGTCAAAGTTACAGAATCAGTACTGAGGATTTGTTGAGGAGGAACCTCGAATACCTCAACAGTAAATATTACACCGTAAGAAGTACACTGTAAACAGTACGCTGTAAACGGTACACTGTAAACAGTACACTGTAAATAGTACAATGTCAACAGTACACTGTAAACAGTACACTGGAAACAGTACACTGGAAACAGTACACTGGTTAAAAAGTACACTGTAAACAGTACATTGTAAACAGTACACTGTAAACAGTACAATGTAAACAGTACACTGTAAACAGTACAATTGTCAACAGTACACTGTAAGCAATACACTGTAAGCAGTACACTGTAATTAGTACACTGTAAACAGTACACTGTAAACAGTACACTGTAAGCAGTACACTGTAAACATTACACTGTAAGCAGTACACTGTAAGCAGTACACTGTAAACAGTACACTGCAAACAGTACACTGTAAACAGTACACTGTAAACAGTACACTTTTAACCAGTGCAAAGTATAATTTGAACCAGAGGGCACTGAAAACTGTACACTTTGAAGAGTACACATAAAACAGTGCACACAGTGATAACCAGAGAGCAATGGAATATGTAAACTTCATAATAGCAATACTTAGGTGTAATTGATGTTGTTAGTCTTACTAGACACTTATTAACCCTATCCAATGGACTATTTTTGTCTAATAAAAATGGTTCCCCCCCCAATCTGATTTTACCCTTGGAGTTGAGATGAGTTTGATACTTGTCCGTAGCCCATATTTTTAAGGCCTACTCATTAAACAAAAATTATATCTTTATCTTTATTGGTTAGGTTGCTAGTAGGATTAAAAAAAAGTTCAAAAAGTACGTCGGAAAAATTTTCAAAATAAAAATTTTTACTTTTGACCAATATTAACATATGACACATGTTATTACATCCATTTTTAAGGGCTTTTCAAATTTATAAATATTAGCCCAGTAACTTAATTAATAAAAAAAAATTATTAACCATTTCTGATTTGTTATGAAACATCGACCTGCCGTTTGACTGTCCTCGACCATACCCTTTAAATAAAAAAAATAAAAAAATAAAATTTGTTCACAACTATGAAGTTCAAAAATTGGAAAATACGCCCCCCCCCCCATTGCGATAGGGTTAAATCACTAATTTTATGAAATGGAACTGTTTCACTCCACACTTGCTGTGTCTCATGCTCATTGGACTTTTAAAAGTTATAATTTGATTCCAAAGTTGTCTTTTTCTGGTTATCACTGTAGTACACTGCAAATGGTATAAAACAGACTATGTATACTTTTTGTACAGGGAGACACAATAAAAATGTAAAAAAAAACTGCAAAGCCGTCCTAGCAGTCTCATTTTCTGGAGTAACCCTGTACACATTAAAGATGGAATTTTACCAACAAACCTTGGTTCTAGTATCCACAATTTGGCACTAAAACAATAGATTTAGTTATAAAAAGTTTTTAGATAAAAGCAAATACAGCTTTTGAAAGACAAAATGTTAGAAAGGAAAGAAACTCCAAAACTGTAAGTTAGCATTATGGCATATAGATAAAACATAATTAATTAATGCATTGAATTGTTTAATAATTTATAAAATACGTAAATAAAATGCAATGGTCGCCACTTTTTCATAAATTTATAGCTTTTCATAACTCTTCCAGGTTTGATTTTACCCACAGGTATGAGACAAGCAAATTTATTTTGTTACAGTTTGGTAATTCAAAACATTTTTGTTCGTCTCTTCAGATCTTCAATTAGAGGAACTATGATTGAAAAAATAACATTTCAAACTTACATTCAATTCAATTTACTTTAGTTTGACGTAAATTGGTATCACAAGGACAGTTCTGTGTCCGAATTTAATGAATTTAAGCTGCCGCTCAAATTCTTTAAATTCGGCCTCTGTACTTATTACCTTCTCTAAGCCTGGAAGGACAAAAATAAGCCCTGGTCCACGCTCACAAGCCTAAATTAAGGAAAATAAAAGGAAATCATGCAAAATCATTAAATAACATCTTTCTTTTGTAAGAATAAGAAGTTTCAAAAAAATGTGAAACCCCAAAATTATCTTACAATTAAGTATCTTTCAATTTCAAATTTTTTAATATCGTAATTTTGTTTTCTTTCAACATCAAAATAGATTAAAAAACATAATTCAAAAATATTGAAATGTTGCCCTATTCTTTTTATATTAAAGAATTTTTAAAAAATTATTTTTAAATTTTCTTCAGCTTAAAATTTACATTTTTTTCTACGTTTAAATAATTGAATTTAACCTTTTCCAGTGTAGACCCCAGAATGACAGCTCTCTCGAACTCCCGAACCCTTTTGAGTACAAAGAACAAAGAAAAAGGAACTGTGAACCAGAGACATTTCTTTTTATAATTTTAGAGTGTATTATCGTCTTTTTTTTCTCTGATTGATTCTAATATATACTAATATTTTTTAATATTTTCTAATGTTTTAATATTTTCTAATATTTTTTAATATTTTCTAATTTTTTAAAAATATTTTCTAATATTTTTTTAATATTTTCTAATATTTCTTGAAGTTTTTAAAATTCTATAACATATTCAAATAGTTATTCTTACAGATATTTTCTTTTATTTCTAATATTTCTAATATTTCTAATATTTCTAATATTTCTAATATTTCTAATATTTCTTCGATTTTCTAATATTTTTAAATATTTTCTCATATGATCTTATATTTCTATTTTTATTATTTTCTAATATCGTTGAACATATTCTAATATTTTCTATTGATAAAGAATATATATCCCTGTAATAGCAACTAGTAGGTAGGATAGAGCATGAAGAAGAAAGGTAGCAACTAGTCTACTTCGAGAAGAACTTGACCACTAAAGAACAGAAAACATTTAAGTTTTATTTTTGTTCCTTTATAGACGGCTAACACTATAAGAACAAAAGAGATAACAAATTATTTATACATATATATATTTATATATATTGCTCAATTCTTTTCTATCTTGAGTTTTTTCTGACATACAAGTGTTTAGTCATAAAAATGTAAATATTTTTGAGACAATATAATGTCTTAAATCTGTATAAATTGGGGGGACTGTGACGTAATTTCAAGTGATCCTCCTGAAAAGCTTTGTATGCTGAAAAATAAATGAAATAAATGATACCATTTAACTAGTCAAAGTTGACAAATTTTATCTAATTTTTTTCTTTTTGAAAAGCTCCTTAAAAGTGTTTAGCGTTTTAAACTTAATTAAACTTGCCTGAGAAACTTGAAGATCGTACATTTTAATTTTCTTAAAAAGTAGAATATATGTAGTTTTTGATTCATAGTAATATTCAATGTAGATATCTACCAACTGTTATTTAAAATTTTGCAATTAACTAAAGCAACCCTACTTCAGCTGTATTTTTCAATAAAACTCCGTTAGCTTTTTTTCACTTATTTAAATCAGTTTTTTTATTTAGTGAAAGGAACAAAATATTTGCCACAAACTCAAAGACTTTTGATATAATAATTTAGAGTAGATACTTGACAAGTCTTAATTTGAAATATTACACACAAAACTCATGTACACTTGAATCGGAGCTGAACCGGCCTTTACGGTCCCGTTTGTACTGCCGTGCCCCGTATGCCAACTGCACAGAAATACAGCAGGGGTTAATAAAGCTGGCCTAGCTCCTTTGGCAGGCCTAGCTAGCTGGTGCAAATAGGTTGACGCGGTCTGACTTTAGGCTACATCTGTTAAAATTTACAATTACTAAAGAGACAATTTTGCAGTATTAACGGTCTATAACGACATCGGGTTGCAGAGATTTGAAATTAAAAATTATAGTGTACGACACTTTTTTATCTCGCCAATCTAAAGGACTCACAAAAAAATTTGGTTAATTCGGTTCAGCAGTTTCTAGCCAATAAACATACCAACAGACATACCATGTTTACAAATAAATATTTATAAAAAGATATTAACTGCAATGAACTTGTTTGTATATTCTCCACCTTGTAAGACCAGGTTTATAATGAACCTTTACTCCATACTTGTATACTGCAGTAACCGAGATAGGGATGGGAATCAGTTTTAAAAATTTATGTTTCGTTTTTAATTTTAGAAGGCTTTACAAGGATTCTACATACATTATTAATCAGATAATTGTATTTTCTAAAAGCATGATTTTATTACATCGTGCAAAAAAATCGCTGGCCAAAATATGAACAAATATGATTTTACCAATCTTTTTGAAAAATCTTTTATCTTCGGTCCACGCACCTCTGACCCTTTAGTAAAAGTAAATTCAACCTAAAGTCTGACCGGGTCAACCTTGTTGCACCGGCTGGTCCTATTGAGTGTCTGCTTTATTTGCCCAATGTCCGGGCGATACAGTACAAACTGCATGTGGGACCGGAAAAGTTGACCCGGCTCGGAAATACAAATGTACTACCGCTGCCCGTGGGTCAGAGTAAAATTGTTGTGTGACAAAATCAAACTTATAAAGAATACAATTTTTAATATAAACCTCTAAAAAGTAAAAAAAAAACCTTGAATGTTCAAAATGAACACAAAAACTATGCCCATTTCTAGTGAAACCAAACCAGGGACAATTCTTTATGCAGAAAAAATCATTCGACCCATTTCTAAATAAATAATATTTAAAAAATTTATATTTATATTTCATGTTTTTAAACGAAAGCTATCCCTGGTGTTTTAGTTTAGAATAAGAAGAAAAGGGGAGGAAAGAAGAGTGTTAATGAGTAATTAACCCAAATTAACTCTAAACTGATTTTAATACCGCGTTTTCATCAGAGGTCAAAACTTGTATTTGACTTAATGATAATCTACAGTGCTAGATCTTAATCTTGATGTGCAAACGTTGCCTTATTATATAAGCTTATTGATACTCAAATGTGTTAAATGTGTTATATGTGTTAAGTCTAGGATAGAGATAAGTATCGTTTTTGTGAACGAACGAAACTTTTGAGAACAAACATTATTTTCGTGAACGATGGCGAAAGATTTTCATAAAAAAAGATTGTCTTTTTAATGAACGAACGATCTTTTAACAAACTTTTAAAAAACAATAGTTTTTTACTAAGTGAACAAATCTTTAGAAAAAACTTTTCAAATAGCTATAGTTTTTTTTTACTGTAAGCACGATTTTACTGAACGATCACTGAGTAATTACAAACGAAGTCAGAAGGCCCCCCCCCCCCAACCTTTGTATGGAAATGTGGACACTCCCTTTTATAAATATACTATTTTATATGAAACATGAATAACTTGAAACTTTGAGATAAAACCATAAAACACAGGAATTGAGTGACAACCTTAAAGCATTACTTTGATGTCGTTTTACTTCGCACTTATTTAATCATAAATTAAGTGAAATGGGTCTGTTTACACTGCACAACACACTAATTTTTATAAAAAAATATTACAATATATAATTCTCTACTTTTTTTGATTAAAAAGTAAAACTTGTTAAAACTTTATTCCACAGAGTTTATGTTTGGCACATGTTATCATTTAATTAAAGTTATGAAATATTATTTCATATTTTCATGTCATCACAATAATATAAGATTATGTACAAATTCAATATTTCAGATAAATCACATTAAAGCCTTAAAATATTGACGATTTAGGGAGTGAGACGCCCCCCTTACATGATTATACATTTTACATTTCAGACGTGGAATATATAATTTACCATGTTTTTTTACTTTTTAAAAGGACTGTAAGCGTAATTTCAATTAAGCCTCTATTCAAAGATGACAATGCCCGATTTACAACGATACCCTTGAAACCTTTGTCTGATCAAGTTTGAATTGGATATCAATGTTTTTGTTTATTTAAACTTTAAAGAATTGAGTTTTAGCCACAAATTCAAATTTTCTAATCCCTATATCTTTGCAACCCGATGTTGTAAACCTTTGATATTTCAAACTACGACTATTTGATCAAACAGAATTCATAGTTTGAAATATCTAAGATCTACGACATCGGGTCGCAAAGATATAGGGGTTAGAAAATCAGAGTTTGTGGCAAAAACTCAATTCCTTTGCGGTTTCTCTGCGAGTCAGAGAAACAACAGCATCTTCGAAATTGTTTTTTCGATTAGGGTTTCAGTTTCTCTGCGAAAGTGATTTACACATTTTTTGCTTAAAAGAAGCAATCGAAAAACTTAAGGTTTCATGGGTTATTGCCATCTTTGCATAGAGGATCATTTAAAATTAGGTTACAATCCCTTTAAACAAACAATTTTTCTCATTTTAAACGTATTATGTAAATTATGTCAAGTCGAATATGAGGTTGCAACTTGTACATAATTTTCTGAATATTAGTTATCACTGGTTTTCATGAAATCAGTTTTCATTGTCCTTCTACTTCAATCTCAGAAGAACTTTGTAGTTTTTGAAGTATATTTACAAAGCCTGAAAAAAACAAATGAACAGTTTCCTTTATGTTTCATAAATACTATCAAGGATTTTCAACTTAATGCTTGATCACTCAATTAAAGTTTTCCCTACATAGTATGACCACCACAGGATTATCCCTACATGGTATGACCACCACAGGATTATCCCTTCATGGTATGACCACCAAAGGATTATCCCTACATGGTATGACCACCACAGGATTATCCCTTCATGGTATGACCACCAAAGGATTATCCCTTCATGGTATGACCACCACAGGATTATCCCTACATGGTATGACCACCACAGGATTATCCCTTCATGGTATGACCACCACAGGATTATCCCTACATGGTATGACCACCACAGGATTATCCCTTCATGGTATGACCACCACAGGATTATCCCTTCATGGTATGACCACCACAGGATTATCCTTTCATGGTATGACCACCACAGGATTATCCCTTCATGGTATGACCACCACAGGATTATCCCTACATGGCATGACCACCACAGGATTATCCCTACATGGTATGACCACCACAGGATTATCCCTTCATGGTATGACCACCACAGGATTATCCCTTCATGGTATGACCACCACAGGATTATCCCTTCATGGTATGACCACCACAGGATTATCCCTACATGGTATGACCACCACAGGATTATCCTTTCATGGTATGACCATGGTATGACCACCACAGGATTATCCCTACATGGTATGACCACCACAGGATTATCCTTTCATGGTATGACCCACACAAGATATCGTTCAAATAAAAATAAAAAGCAAAAACGACCATAATTACTTCTTGTATCGTTATTACTGTATAATTTATCATATTTAGAATTTTTGTCAATTAAGGTTATTTAATCTTTTTATAGTTCTGTGTCCGAATATAATGAATTTAAGCCGCGGTTCAAATCTCCCAGAAACCGGTTTGAATTGAGCGCCGGCTTAATCTTAAAAAATTGAATACAATTTTAGGTGGAACCAACCATATTCCAGCCGCGGCTCAAATTCTTTAAATTCGGCCTCTGGATTAATTAAAAATTAAAGGGTTCCGAAGAAGGATGAGACTTTAATGAAAATGATAATTTGAAATTATAACGATTTTAAAATTACCTTGCAACCTGGAATTATATTCATAGTAACAGAAAATTTACAAAGGAATTGAGTCTTTACCATTAATCTTTGCAACCTGAGGGTAAATACTATATACCATTGATATTTCAAACTTAGATTGTTAATGTTAATGTTTCAAAGTTTGAAATATCTAAGGTCTACATTGGAATACAAATAAGTAGAGACTCTAAAATCAGAGTTTGTGGCAAACCTCTTTGGCAAAAAAAAATTAGGTCTGGATAGACTGATTCAATTCCACAAGTCTTTTGTAAAGTCTCATTTTCCTATTGATTATCACTTAATAATAATAGAGGCAATCGACCCTCTTTACTCAGTTTAATATAAATGTTTACCTCGTTTACACTGCTGGAAACACTAACCTCTTGAATTGAAGTGCTAAAAAAAATCCAATAAAAATAAAAAATTTGATATTGAAATTATATTTACCTGACACTTCGGTCAAAATCTTTAACAGTTGGAATTCTTTTAAGTAACGATCCGTCGTCTTTGCTTTGTACATTCTGTGCATTTACTGCATTCAACTTAATTCCTCCGTCGTCTTTGTCTTCTGCATTCTGCGCACTTGCCGTGTTAAACTTATTTTCTCCGGCGTCTTCATCTCGGTTGATTGCAGAGTACTCAAGATAAACTTGTTCTGCTGATGTTTTGTCAGGGTTTTCTGCAATTTGATTTCAAATTTTAAAAAGTTGGTCACCAAATACCAAACAATATTGATTTTCAATGTGACAATCAAAGAAAGCCATGTCTTTAGTTTAATAAGAATACCCTTTCCATGAAATTTTAATGACAAATTCATTAAGTTAAAAAAGTTGAAAAATTTTAAATTTTAAAATTTTTCATTTATGGAGTTTTTTTTCAATAAAAAAGTATTCTTTTTTGAATTATCAAACAATCTTGGAAAATATGGAATTAATTAATGAGAATGGTAGTATTATTAAAATTTTTGAAATATTGATTGTAAAAATGGTCAGACTTGCCTTTATTTCGTTCAACTTTGAATCGGCCATCAGGGTTTTGTCTCCAAAACTGGGTAGAGTATTCTTCTTGAGATATTTCTTGTTCAATTCCAGAACTGTTCTCCGGGTCAGCGCTGCTTCCATACCCGGAGCTGCTTCCAAATCCTGAGCTGCTTCCATACCCGGAGCTGCTTCCAAACCCTGAGCTGCTTCTGGTGTCAGAAGTAAGTTTAAGCTGAGAGTTTTTTAATGGCGCTTGTTGGCTCCAGAACCCACTGTTTCCATAAGGCCATGGACTTAAAGGGACATCTTAAAAAAAAGCTAAATTAGATTTTATATTAAATTGTCAGCTATGATTAGTGATTAAAACAGTTCAGCTTTTAGTTTGGGTTGTTACACCTCTTTGATTAAAAAGGATCTTAATTTATGCTTTTTAAGTTTTAATATTTACCCTCTCTTGGCGGTGGGGTGAGTGATCCGAAGGTATATAATTATTAATTTGTACTTTGACATCATTCGATTAAAGTTTAGCATTTGATAACACATTTGCTATGATTTGTTTACATACTAATTTTGTTTACTTGTTGTAATGAAAACATGTTAGAATTGAATACTCCTATCATTAGATATTCAACGCTTAGTTTTTAATTTAGTTTTTAAACTTTTGAATGTTTTTTTTTTTACTTTTTATTTTTAATCTATGGTTTACCTGTAGGTCTGGCCACAGACTCAAAAGATAATTCAGAACGTTCTTTAACTAAAATAATGAGTTCACATATCCATCTTGAAATTCATGAATAAATATATTTAATGAAAAAAAAACATAATATAGGATAATCGAGAAATGACGTGACTATTGACTAATGACTTTATTCAAGTGTAATACATTTAAGGGACCTTTTATAAAAAATATTGCAATGTTTAATTCACAACGGTACCCTTCAAACCTTCATCTCATCAATTTTCAAACATTTATTTTTTAGTTTTAGTTTTAACAATTTAATAAAAAAATAATGACAGCAGGCGCTACTGTTCAGGGTTGCCTTCTCTCAATGAGCAGTTCTTGAATAGATTTTTGCGACACACTCTTTGAAATTTTTGTTTTCCTGATTGTTGCCTCCCTGGTCATTGCATCCCTTATCATGGTCTTGGTGAGAGTTCGAAAAAAGAAAAAATATTTTTTGCTACATCCTGGTAAGCAATGCAAGCCAGTTTCCGAGCATCACAATTTGGGACACCCTAAATACCGGTACTGTTTCTGTTGATTTCTATAATTTGATTCCTTATGTGTAATAATGTAATTTCAGCTTGGCTTTCTGTTTCTATTTCTGCTTCTTTCTTTATTTTATCAATAATGTGGAAGATATTGTCATTTTTCTAGGTTTAAAAGTGTTTAATTCTGATCATTCCTATATGGTTTCCTGCAGTAAAAATGCGAAAGTAACCTTTGTGGAGAAACCACAAGAAAAAATTATCATTTTTAAAAAGATAAAGATAGAAATGCAAGCCATGACTATAGCAGACAAAGTTGTTGATGGTACCATTCTGAGTCGGGAATATCTTTGCATGGAGGATCACTTGAATTCTGCATACAGTCTCTTTAACAACTAGAAAATATGTTGAATTACAATACCTGGATAAAATGTATTGCGAAGGGAGGCTGCAAGTGTAACACCTCCTAAACCTGTACCAGCCCTGAGAAGTTGCAATAATTAATGTAAATGTGGTTCATTCTTGTATTTTAACGATTATTTGAAAATGTGCAAATTCCAGATTGACATGACTGATCAACCGCAGTGGTCGGCTTTTATATCAATAAAATAAATACGACGGTTTTTTAAGTTTCGATCTTTAACAAGCTATTGTTCAATGTTCAAATTATAACTAAGACAAACTCTGATTAAAAAAATGTTACGAATTTAATTTTGCTTATTCTTCATTTTCGTTTTGGAAACAAAATTGTATTATTGTATTATTTATGTTAAGCAATCGAAACTAAATAAGTTTCATATGCATTATGCAACAACCATTTTTAGTTTTTTTTTTCAGTTAAATTTTTATATGTACTGTTTTTATTTGTAAACGTTCGTACCGGGTTACCCAAAAAATGTTGAGAATCCAGAGGTTGTCATTAATATTTGTAATTGGATATAAAAATTACACACCAAAACAAACTTTCATGAATTGATCAATAAATAGATAAAAATCCTACAGGGTTACTAACTCAGTATGAGACTGTAAAGACGCACGGAAACTTATAAAATATGATTATCCCAAAATTAAATTAAGTCTTCTGCCTAAGATATAGAAATCTAATGGCTTATTCAATATTTTGGCAAAGAAGCAAAAAAAAAATTGCAGTGGCTGCAGGGAATCGTGAATATAATAAAACAAACAATGAAATTTCCTAAAGTCTAATCTTATATGGGTAATCCTGAGTCGGCGATTTAACAAATTCAAGAGAATATGACTCAGGTCTGAGCTGTCGTCGGGTCTTATTTACGGCTTGAGCTTTCGGATTCTAACTGCATCTTATTTTCCATAGATTTGAGTTCAAAAACCGGTTTAATATTCTATTAGGCGGATTTTCATGGAAGGAATTGGCTCATTCCGGGTTTTATGAGAACAAGACTTAACATCGAGCCCTATTCTCCACTAGCGCCAACCAAAGTCGGTTTTATTTTCATGGTAGGGCCTAAATCCTAAGTAGAGCCTAAGATCTTGTAGCTGTCAATCACGTGACACAAGTCTAAGATTGGGTTTCAGGAATTACGACTCGAGCTGAAGCTTTTAAAGGGAGTTTTCGCTAAAAAGGAAAGGGGGTATAGGCTTAATGGGATAAAAAAAAACGCTTTTGATCGCTACTAATCTTACTTCTATCTGTTGCGTCTATAAGGAGAAACTTGTTAAAGACGTCTAATACCGAATAACTTAGCGCCCATACAAATTCATAAAATTGCAACATACGACTTAGACCGTAAAAAAATCGATTTAATTTCAAACAAATTATTCAGATATTACAACCTGTAGTCATCGATTATCTTTCGTCACATTCCCTTTAAATCGCAGGCTCTGTACTCTACTCTGTAGTCGTCTCACGTTAAGTTAAAATAAATTGCACTGAAGATTGAAATCTGTTTTGTTTTTTTAATCCTAACTATACTCTTATTGAAGTGCTATTGTGAAAAAAAATAAACTGTTCTGAGACCGAGTTTAAAGAATTTGAGCCGTGGCTCAAATATTGTGGGTTCCATACAATTTTTCAAGATTTAAGCCGGCGCTCTATTGAAACCGCTTTTTGGGGGATTTGAAACGCGGCTTAACTTCATTGAATTCCGACATTGGATTTCTGATTTGTAACTGCAGATAAATTTAAATTCGGTCTCAGGGACCTCAGGTCACAAAGTCGTAACAGTATAGTGTAGGATCAATGTAACCATCTCCTTCTGTCTAGTTTACACTAGTCTGTATTGATTTAAGGTGGTTGCAATTAAGTTTCATCCCAAGCATGCGCAACGAGGAACCGGCTGTATATTCTAGGCTGGGCAGGGCTGAAGAAACGAATTGGATTTTAAAACTATAGTTTTTTAAGAGCTAACGAAAAAAACCGGACGATTTAAAAATGTTAAAGATCGTTCGATTATTATGGATGAGTCACACTGTAAATGAACCATTTCTTAATCATTTGGTTAAACGAGAAAAATGAATGAGCAAAATGAACGAGTTTTCAAACAAAATTATGAAAAAACTGAATAAACTGTAAAAAACGATAGTTTTTACTGAACGATCGTTCAGTTAGAAAAAGAATGTAATAGATGGAAATAAACGATAATTCACAAATAAACGACCTCAATTTTCTTTGAACGACTAAAAAACGAACAAAATGGTCGTTAACGAACGCTGAACGAAATAATTTTATGAAAATGATCGTGTCCATCTCTAGTATATTGCATTTAAACAATAGGGTTCCAGGCCAATAAAAGAACATACAAGAATAGTTGAAGACCTGGTTCGCTGTGTAGTTGTGGATACTTCATCGATAGGCATCAAGTCAGCAATAGCATTGTACGGGAAGGGAGCTATTTGGTTTGGAAAATCCTCTCCGAATTCCATACTGCAACATAACAATACAAAGCTCTGTCTGCACATTTGTTGTTAAACATTGGAATGTATTTTTTGTTTCTAAACAATGGAGTTAACAACATCTAAATTGTAGAACATGATTCAGATTAAGAGGGGGATGTCTACAAGAGATACATACCCCCCCCCCTCCCCTCCTTCCACTTGCTCCTATTACAGAAGGCAATTTTAATGAAGATTAAGAATACAGTTTTAATTAAAACAGTGACATGAATATTTTCTAAAAAAAAAATTTGAATTTTTAAGCTTTAATTTTTTAACAAATTTTCACATGCAGCATATTTGTATTTTTCAATATAAGGTTATTTTGAAATTTGAAAATGTAAAGTCTTCACAAAGTAAAAAGTAAATAGATATTAAGTCGCCGATCAAGTACATTCTTTCAATACAAATTAAGGTTATAAAGCAAAGAACAGGACAGTCCTTTTTTCTAATAATCTTTAAAGCTGATAAAAACGACCCACAAAACAAAACTCCGGAATAAAAAGACGACTTTTACAGGTAGTGGCCGGCAATGTGTGTGGTAGTTGAACTGATAATGTAGTATTGTGGAGAAATGTTTTAGGATTCATTTGAGAAACGTTTTAATGATGTATTAATACTGAATATGAGCGCAAAGCCAACGTTTAAAATCATTCATTTGGTTGTGTACGTTTAGAGAATCGATTATTTTTAAATTATTAAACAACGATGAGAAAAAATGTAACAAAAAATTCTACGGTAAACTTAATAGTTGTTAAGGAATAGGTTGAGCATTTTTATTGAAAAACGGCATTTTAAGATTTTTAAGAAATCTGATAACAAATTGGTAAAGTACAGGGTGTCCCAAAAAACATGGGAATTCAGTGACGAATAGTATCGTCTTTGCTATAAATTAGCATTGTAATACCTAATTTCAAAAGCCATAATATTATTATGTCTGCTAGAGTTTATTTTATGAAAAGGGTAAAAGACTGTAAAGATGTGTCTATAATGTCTCTGCAAGATGAACAGTGAAGACTGACAAGTTTACTCTGTTTGTATACTGCAATTTTCTTGTTTTACTAAGTACAACCGTATGCAGTCAAAACATAAACAAACAAAATGTAAACATAGCAGACGAAACTCTTTCAGATTACAGTTTTCTTAGTTGGTATCACTATACTAAATCAAAGAATTATTTAAAAAGACGATGTCGAATTCGTCACTGAACTCCCATGTTTTTTGGGACACCCTGTATAAGAAATCCAATATTATGATAAAAAGAAATAATTGATTCTAATATTGATCTATTGCCAAATTTCCATTGAGAAATGTGTTCCATTGTTCCAAGAAACATCTTATTTTTTATGCATTTTTCGTCGCGGATATTTAATAATCTTTAAAAAATCGATTCTCAAAACGTAACCACCGAGATGGATAATTTTGAACGTCGACTTTGCACTCAGACGCAGTAACTATGCATCATTAAAACGTTTGATATGTCTCAAATGAATCCTAAAAAAGGTCTCCACAATAATACATTCTCAGTTCAACTACCATACATTGCCGGTCCCTCCCTTGAAACTTAAGATGTATAGATTGTAAATAGAACAATAAACATTAAACACAGCACTTGTGCAGTATTGACTGACCTATTTCATTTGATAAGTTTATTTTTAAGCTGCTGGGAAAACTATTTGCTTTATAACAACTTCAAATACACACAACATTGCCTAAATGTCGTCTTTCTATTATACATTTTTATGAGTCCCACTGTATCCACCTGTTTCTTTCTTTATCATCTTCTCTGCTCAGCTGATTCCGATATTCTAGAAATATAAAATAGTAAAATAATAAACAAAACAAACTCAAATTTGCTAATATCTAATCTAATCTGTAAACCTTGGTTAATTCAAATTTAGATAATTTGATCCAAAAAAATTTTAGTTTGTATATTTGGAAAGATTACGAAAATTCACAATTTTCCCAAACCTTGCAAGTCCCTCCCAACCCGACCAATCCCCCACCAACACAATCTGTCCCCTCCCAACAATATATCGAAGTCTTCCAAATTTCAATTCCAAACCCAACCTAACTTCCCACATAACAAGTTTCCAATCCAAACCTACAAAAGAACATACTTATTGTGGAAAAAATGAAAAAAGTTTTAAAATAAATTGATTTTGTTAGCTTGGCCAATTTCAATCAATATACAGGAATAACCAGAAACCTCTGGACTCTATAAAGACTAGTTACGACTTTAATTAGTCCAATGAGCATGGGACACAGCAATTAAGGAGTGTAAACTGACCAATTTTTCTTAATTAGTCATTTAAAAAGTTACTAGTAAAACTAAAAACTATTTGTTTTGTAAAAACATCAATACACGTAAGTATTGCTTTAATGTCGTCTTCTTATTCCATTGTTTTCTGGTTATTACTGTATATTTTATTGTTTAAAATCATAAAACAATTTGAACCCTCTGTTCCTGGTCATTTCATAAATTGGGTACTTGCTATATTTTATATCAAATCCAGTAAATAGTTATTATTTACTTTACCAAAAGTAATTGTAAGCGTATTTTCAAGTGACCCTCGCTTGCAAAGATGACAATGTCCAAATCACAGAAGATTATTCTTATGAAGTATTAATTAGATATTAATGTCTATAATTTTGAAAACTTATTATTTTTCTTTCAAAAGTAACGTTTTTTTCATTTAAGAATTATCAGAATCAAACATTTTTCAACTAAGAAAAACGACAATATCATACACATTATTGATCAGATAAAGGTTTAAAGGGTATAGTTGTGAATCGGGCATTGCTATCTATCACTTAAAATTGCGCTTACAGTCCCTTTAAAAGTAAAATGTCAATCTTTTACCTAAAATTATGTTTCTGTCATTTTTTAACAATCTTCTTCTAAGAACTCGCGGTCTTCCGATGGACGAACTTTAAAATAACTTAGTATAAGATTTCCTGGCATGGTCATAAAAAAAGTCTTTAAAAAACTGATTACTCGCCTCAAACTCTATAATTTTCTAAACCATATATCTTTGCAGTCTAAAACCAAATCGCGTAAACCTTTTCTGGTTCAATGTTTGACTAAATGGTTCAGAGGAATTAAAAATTAAGAACATAATATGAAATGAAATGTTGGAAGGATATAAGTATAGAGAAATTTTATTTTGAGGCAAGTAACCACAAATTTACTGATTTACTTTATTTAAAACAAAGTATAAAAAACATAAATTTAATTCCTAATTTTTTAAAATTAAGGAAGAGCAGCTAAAGACAATTCTAACATAGAGGCCCCTTTTTAAGAATTAAAATAAAAAATACTTGATCATTTTAAAAATCTACTCATCCTGAACATGACTGTAAAAGAAACGTAAAAACAATGTAAATGCTGAGTTCCCCTTTTATGCGCTAAATTCCCGGATTTTCATGTTTTATTTCCGACCACCCCCCTCCCCCCATCCTCCTCCCACACAATATTTGATCAAGGTTGTTCAATAAAACCTAGAGTGCTCAATAAAATCTAGAGTGTTCAATAAAACATAGAGTGTTCAATAAAATCTACAGTGTGCATTTAAATCTAGAGTGTTCAATAAAATCTAGAGTGTTAAACAAATCAATGGTGTTTAATGAAATCCAGGGTGTTTAATAAACTCCAGGGGGTGTTTAATGAAAGCCAGGGTGTTTCATGATATCCAGAGTGTTTTATGAACTCCAGGGTGTTTAAGAAAATCCAGGGTGTTTAATGAAATCCAGGGTGTTTAATAAACTCAAAGGTGTTTAATGAAATCCAGGGTGTTTAATGAAATCCAGGGTGTTTAATGAAATCCAGGGTGTTTAATAAAATCTTATACCATGGTAAAATCTTATAAATTAATTTATTCCCTTAACTACATAGCAGACCACTATAAACGAAAAAATAATATGTCAAAATTTTCAGATTTCAAAATTTTTTAAACACCCTGTACATCTTATTACACGACCTTGGTTTTTGCGTAGATTTGAACCATATTTTCGTCTTCCGTTGCACAGCTTAATTATGCAAAGAAAATATTTTGCATGGAAACAAGGGCGGAGAACTCATTTTCATAACTTCGCATCCACGGTTTCTAATTCATTTAATAACTACAATTGAAAACCTCTACAATCATATACTTTACATACATCATACATCATACATCATACATCATACATCATACATCATACATCATACATCATACATCATAACAGCGCATACCTTAGATCTTAACAAAAAAAAGTGTTTAAAAAGTGTTTAAGAAAAAGGTTTAAAAGTGTACCGTTAGAAATCAGGAATTTACTCATTAAATTGGTGGGGGGGGGGGGGGTTGGATTTGAAATTACATCGACAGTTTCTTTTAATAAAAAGTTTAAAGTGTTAAATCTAAAAATGCAGATGTTAGTTATGACAAAACCTGTTATTTTTATTAAATCTGTTTGGGTTTATCCGGATTTTTCTGGAGAAAGCTAATCTTTTCAGCGGCTTCTCTTCACCATCGAACTAAATAAAAATTGTAAAAAGTCCCTTTACTTCAAATTTTTAACATTTTTAAGAGTTGATTTTTAAATCGCAAACACTCCCCTTTAAAAATTTTCTTTTTGTAATATTACCTTCATTTCTCTCGTTTCTTCTTTAAATTGATGAAGCCCTGAACTAAAATATTGATTTTGGAATTTTAAGCTGAGAATTTGATTTTGATTAATTGATTGATTTACGCTAGGCTAAGTGGGGATTCACCATCCAATTAGGCTATACTTTTTTATAGAGTGGGGAGGAGAATCAATTTTTTAGTACATTTTAGTACATAAACGATTGCTGATTTAAAGCTAAAGAATTTTAAAAAATAAACAACATTTCAATGCTATGAAAATTATTGTTGCATTTTGTTGAAATTTGCTTTAAACGATTAAATTTGCGTGCAGTGTTTCTAATAGGTTCAGTGTTGTTCTGTAGGACTTATTTGTGTAGTCCTAGAGATGGGCATCGTTTTTGTGGACGAAAAAATATTTTGAGAACGAACAAAATTTTTAAGAATGACGGTGTCGTGAAGAAAAAAACGAACGATGGACGAACGATTTGGATCGTTCAGAAATATTAAAAAGATCGTTTTTTAAAAACGAACGATATAAACTATTTGAACTAACTTGAAAAATAAATTACTGGACGAACGAATTTTTCAAAAGATTTTGACAAAAATTATCGTTTTTTAAAGAACGAACGATTTTTGGAACACAATTTTGTAAAAGTTATTGTTTTTTTTTTCACTGAACAAACAATTTTTTCCGACAAACTTTTGAAAAAAACCAATTGTTCTTTTTACTGAAAGAACGATTTTAATGAACAAAAAAGTAGATGGAAAATGAACGATATATTTGAGAACAAACGACATAATTTTGTTGAACTATTGAAGAAACAAAAGAAATGGGTCGTTCTCGAACGATGAACCAATGAAATGAAAAAAACGAAGACGAAGTGTATAGTTGGAGTTTTGGGACTTCTAGTTCAAAACAGCAGTAACTCTGTAAGGGCATCCATTTTTTATAGATTAAACTATAAATGTATGTGTATAAACACCAAGTTATATTTTTATAGATTAAACTATAAATGTATGTGTATAAACACCAAGTTATATTTGTACATATTACAAAGAAGTAGGCAAATCTGGGAATCCATAAAATGAATATCATGTATCTAAATATCCGTATTGTTTGTAGATCAAATTTGGTGCTATTCCAAATCCTAAAATATGCATCTATTTCAACCAGTTTTATGATAGTCTGTTGGTTTTAAGGGTTGCGAAAAGTGCGGGAGGGGAGATGGGTGAACCTGCTGTGCCTCCCCCAGATTTATAACGTAGCAAGATGTTAGAATACTTTTCAGAAAAATCGATGTCAACCCCTTTAAATCACTTAATAATTTGAAATTTTAGCATTGGCCTTTTTAACAAATCCCCCCCCCCCCCTCCTCCGAATGTTGCCCCTAGCGCAAATATAAAAGAACCACTCTCACTCTTGTGTGAATAGTCAGAGGTCACTTTAAGTCATTAAAGTGTAACATTTCCCTCTCTATATGCAGAGTTGTAAGATTTTACTGCTCTTGCATAAACAGAAAACAGGAAAATACGGCTGGGTGTGTGAGTGGGGGAGGATGGGGGGCTTGCATCCCTGCTGTTTCCAAATATGTCCTCATAAAGTCTAGTTTAAGTATTGTATTGAAACAAAAGACAAAAATAGACACTCAGCCAACTCATCTCACGAAACCTCGATTCCAGGAGGAAGTGGGGTTCATACAGTACATATACTGCAGGGTCTAGAGGGGTTTGTTTTAAACTTCGATTTTTGCATATATTTATAGATCATATATTTAGTAGACATTTTGCCAGCATACACGTTAAACTAAAATAAATGGCACGAAAGATTAAAATCTTTTATGTTTTCAATTATGTCTCCACTTATTGAAGAGCTATTAAAGGGACTGTATAGGAAAAATGAAAGGGGGCATAGGCTGAAAACTAATCACTTTAGCTTTGATCGCGAACCATGAAAGTTTTATCTGATGTTCCTGTCTCGAGAAATTGATATAAAATTGTGATGAAACTATACGAAAGTTCATATATGTAAAATTTAGAAAATCTTAAACTTAAATCAAGTGACCAGAACAATCACCAATGGTAGAGCAGTATACTGGTCACGTGTCTCCGCCTGTATCACGTGACCACTTTACTGCACTGCCATTGGTGGAATTTCTGGTCAAGCAATACGGTCGTATAAATAATATTATGAATTAAATCTATAAAAAATAGAAATAACAAATATAAAATTACAATTGGAGTAAACCTAAGTTACAATTTGATCTATTTAAATCCTCTACATTTATACAAAATTGTATATATATTAATTTTCGTATAAACTTGACAAAGTTGTAAATCAGTTTCTCGAGATAGGAACATCAGATATAACTTTCATGGGTCGCGATCGAGATTAGCTTTCAGCCTATACCCCCTTTCATTTTTCCTTCACAGTCCCTTTAAGATGAAAGAAGTTGTGAATTTCTAATGTATAATCGGGTAAAGTTCCTTTTCTCATACTTGTACGTAAAATCAAAGCCAAAAGAGATACAAGGTCACAAAGTTAAACCAGCAATGTCACATAAGTTTTACCTTCTCTCTCCGCCTAGTTGGCAGCCAATTTCGTATACAAACCAAAAGGTAATTTTGATATTGATATATTGTACATTGTACATATTTGTTTACGACAAAATATACAAAATATACAAAATATACAAAATATACAATACAGTACATGTATGGTTTTACATTCCTTAAAAGTACTGCAAAGGACAAATTAAAGGGGGTATAGGCTGAAACCTAAGCAATTTTGGAGTTGATCAAGGCCCATAAGAGTTCTATCTGATGTTCCTGTCACGAGAAATTGATAAAAAAATAAGTCAAATTTATACAAAAATCTTTAAAAAGATTATATTCAACAAATATACAACCAATCTGAAAACAACCATATCACAGAAGAGCCTAAGAAGCCTAGGTTGTCTTCTATTATTATTTGAATGTAATAACTTTTCATTTTTAAAAGATATAATTGATAATAGTATTTATAGGTCCGTATCGCGTGACCAAAACTCCCACCAATGGCAGTACAGTATACTGGTCACATGATAAAGACAGAGACACGCGACAATAATACTGCAAATGCACTGCCATAGGTAGGAGTTCTAGTCACAACGTAATAATTATATTGTCAATTATATCTATTAAAAATGAAAAATTATTAAATTCAAATAAGAAAAGGACTAAACCAAAGTTACTTAATTTTTCCGTTACAGTCCCTTTAAAGGACTCAAAACGTAGTTTCTAGCGTAACAACCCCCAATAAAGAAAAACGAATAAATCGTCAATTTTCTATCTTAAGGAGACTGTATAGTAAAAATGAAAGAGGATATAGGCTTAAACCAACATAAGTCATAGTCTGAAATATCTAAGGTCTGCAAAATAGGGTTGTTTAGATATAGGGATCATAAATCAGAGTTTGTGGCAAAGACTCAATTTCTTTATGATTTTTATGATTTTTTAATACCCGATCTCTGATTCTTTAATGTTGTTACTAGAAATTCGTTCTCTTTCAGATGATGTATCAAACCTTCCTGAAAACAAAAAAAAATCAAATTCAGGAAAATTAATCAATCAATAATTACGCAACATTGGTCTGTGTACAGTGGACAAGTATTATGTTCATGTCATCTTTTACAGTCCTATGATCCTCCTGTAGAATATTTTAATGTTAAATACCTTGTAAAGGAACTCTGAATCCATTGATCAGTTTATGACCCTTCAGTAGGGTTGAGACTGGCGAAGGAGTTGGTCCAAACAGCTGATTCCCTCGGCTATATCCGTTCCATTGATCGTCATAGGACGGCAGTGGTAAAGTTACAGGAGTGAAGGAAGGCGTTGGAAGGACTTGCTGCACTGGAACAAATTGTAATGTTGCACGAGGTTGGGACGAGATGTTGTCAGTTTGACTGGATAAAGGGAAGTTAGAGAGAGCCTGCTCTTGGCCTTGAGGATCTCCAGTGGATTGATGGAAGGAGCTAAACACTGGATTGGGAGTAGAGGGGTGCAAAAGGGAATCCTGTGCAAGGACTAAGAAGAGAAGAAAATCATTTTTTAGTTCAAAATATCATCGTTTAGAATTCTTGCTTTACCTGGAGTTTTGGGTGTTACAAAGAAGGGTGCGCTATCCACTTGACTCTCGGGAACTATCTCTTGCAATTGCTTTTCTTTTAAACTGTCCAGTTTAGCTTTTACTTGGTTCTGTATTCTCTCACTAGAAAATCATTGCAGAAATACAAAACAAGAATTATTTCTTGAGTCCTAAGATTTTACCATGTTTTTTCCCTTGGACTTAACATTAACATTTTATTTTCAAATTCGATAAGATTCCTTTTTTGTTAAAGAATGGAATTTTATTTCTGAATCTATTCCTGAGAATGTTTGAAAGAGAAGAAAGATTGACCCCCTTAGATCCCACTCTTATCATAGCATCAGCACTTGACAGAGTCAGCTCAGGACTATTTGTTTTAAACTTGGTCTTTTCAGCATGGTCTACTGGCAGCAAGCTTTAATGAAAAATGTTTTAAGTATCATCTGATTAAAGGGACTGTAAAGGAAAAATTAAAGGAAGTATAGGCTGAACGCTAATAATTTAGCTATTGATCGCGACCCATGAAAGTTATATCTGATGTTCCTGTCTCGAGAAATTGGTATAAAACTGTGTCAAATTTATACAAAAATTCATATATTAACAATTTTGTTTAAGGAATGGCAGGTTTAAACAGATCATATTCAGCAAATATGCAGCCAATCTGAAAACGAAGATATCCCAGATAATCCTAATTGTAACTTAGGTTTTCTTTAATTATTATTTTATTATTTTTATTTTTATGTTTAATAGTTATAATTTATATTATTATTTATAAGTCCGTATCACGTCACAGGAACTACACCAATGAGAGTGCAGTAGACTGGTCATGTGATAGAGACAGAGACACATGCCCACTATACTGCACTACAATTGGTGGGAGTTCTGGTAACGTAATACAGACTTACAAATAATATTATCAGTTATATCTATTAAAAATAAAAATAAAAGTTATAAAATAATAAATGGAGAAAACCTAAGTTACAATTAATAAAGTCTTCTTTCTCTGAAAAACACATTTTTTTGTCTATTTTTACTATCCTTTCAATATCTTCGTTTTCAGATTGGTTGCCTATGTGCTGAATATGATCTGTTTAAACCTACCATTTCTATACAAAATTGTTATGTATGAATTTCTGTATAAATTTGACACAGTTTTATATCAATTTCTTGAGACAGGAACATAGATAAAACTTTCATGGGTCGCGATCATTAGCTAAAGTGATTAGCTTTCAGCATAAACCCCTTTTCATTTTTCCAGTACAGTGCCTTTAAGATAGAAGAGAATGATAAATATATGCGTTAACAATCTGAAGAAAAACACAAATCTTCTCTACTGCTATGCTTGCTTTCCTTTATTTCGCTTGATAGCAGTTGAATAAGTTTGTTTGTATTGTCCATCCTCCTCTCTTAGTGGTTTATTGATTGAGTTTAAACGAGAAGAACTTGGAGCTCTCAGTAAACTAAGCATTCGCAGAGCCTACAAACCAATTTGTGATCAATACTTGTTTACTTAATATCTAAAAAGTAAAATCGAACATAACAGTTCGATATAAATCTGAAAATCTTCAGTTTTCTTGTAAAAAATGTTTTAAAGAGGAATCCTGATTAACCAGAGCTGGTAACTCCTGCAGATTCTTCGTAAAATACGAAAGTGCCTAATGTAAATATCAAGATCAAGTTCTCAGAATTATGAGTATTCAATACAAAGGATCCCAGCTCAGAAGTCATCAATTTTGAGATCGAATAAAGCATTGATCATCTTATGCAGATCTGTGCAGATTCATTCAATTTCTTTGAAAACCCGTGATATCTAAGTCGAGGAATCAAGCATTGATCCTAAGATGATATACTGGATTTGGTTATGTATCCCCTTGCATTTTTTGTTTACAGCTGAGTAACTGTTTGATATCAGAGAACATAAATTTCAACCTTTTGTCTGGAAACAGTTCTTGACCGGGACAGATCTGTGTACTGATCAAACTTCAACTCTTCTTCATCCCTGCAACAAGGTCTCTTATCTTATATCTAGTATTTAGTGTTTACTCATCTTAAATGGACAGAAGTCGTAATGTGGAATCCTTTAATCGAAAATAAAAAAGTTTCAAGGAGATACAAATGGATATCTCTTTAAATCTTTTCAGCATACTCATGTGAATCGGACATGCCATGCCAATCTATTAATAGAGAGTCAATCAAAACTACTCCTACAGTCTCTTTAAAAATTTTAAAATTTGGCAACTTTTAAATGTCTTTTTTTCAAAAGTATTACAAAATTATATGATCATTGCCAAAACAAATGAAGCAGGATACAGAAAACTGTGAAATGATTTTCGTCTAACTTCGTTTATTCCCTTAAATAGGATTTTTTTTTCTGGTTTTAGAGATTCGTAGATGTTCGAACTGGTTTGCTGAGATCATATGTTTTTAAAATTTCACAATAAAAACAAAAACCAAAGACAACAATCATCCCACTGTGTCCTTTAAAACATTGAGAAAATTAAACGTCAGCAAGGATTTGTGCAAAACTGCTGAAGCCTATTTTTTTCCGCGTAGAGAGACTGTAGATATAATTTCAAGTGTTCGATCCACGAAAGTACCTTTTCCATATGTACGTGTAAGATCAAGAATTCAAAAGCTCTACTTTTCTGAAGCTTGAGACCTGGGCAGCCCGTTAATTCCATATTATTCAAAATAATTTTGGGTTGGTTTGCAAAATCGCATTCTCCAAAACTTTGCTTTTATCAAATTACTAGCTGGGGAACTCAGTGTGGCCCAGGGGAGTCATAGTTATCCCCGCCGTTTACCCGCTCCTTGTCGTAAATTACAATTTTCGTTGAAAGTGGATTCACTCAACTTAGAATCTCATAACCAAGCTCAGAACATTCCCGTGGGTCTCCCAAGTTTCCCAATTAAAATTTAATGCAAATCGGTCCAGGCGTTCCTGAGTTATGATCGGAAAACAAAAGTAACAAACAGGGATTACAACTTTAAACAAAGCAATATTTTGACTCTTGCAGATGATACAGGGTGTCCCAAAAACATGGGAATTCAGTGACGAATAGTATATCGTCTTTGTTATGAATTAGCATTGTAATACCTAATTTCAAAAGCCATAATATTATTATGTCTGCTAGAGTTTATTTTATGAAAAGGGTAAATGGCTGTAAAGATGTGTCTATAATGTCTCTGCAAGATGAACAGTGAAGACTGACAAGTTTACTCTGTTTGTATACTGCAATTTTCTTGTTTTACTAAGTACAACCGTATGCAGTCAAAACATAAACAAACAAAATGTTAACATAGCAGACGAAACTCTTACAGATTAAAGCTTTCTCAGTTGGTATCACTATACTAAATCAAAGAATTATTTAAAAAGACGATATCGAATTCGTCACTGAATTCCCATGTTTTTTGGGACACCCTGTATGAGATATTAAAGATAGAAACAAGTTGATTTTTGTTATCTAAGCATTGCATAATATTGATAAAAGCAAACTAGTAGAGAAAAGGTATTTTCAATTTTTTCAGATATCGTCGGTATTTGTGAGTGCCCTAGCCCCCCCCCCAAAAAAAAAACTAGAATATTAAAAGCCTGAACCAGTACCTGCACTCTGGTCGTATCTGCATAACATTGGTTGGCCAATCACATACTTGCCTCACCGGGTTAAACATCATAAACCCACAGGACTACAGTACAAAAGGATTTGTCAACAATTGTTTACAATTAAAATTAGGAACCATGGGACCGAATTCAATTAATTTTAGCTAAGTCATTGAACTAGCAAATGTCGGTTCAAATTTGAACCATCGATTCAAAGATAAAGATTTAGTCGGGATTTGAATCAATGATTCAAATTTGTTTCTTCAAATTCATTTAATTGCTCCCAGCCCATAAAACTCTTTTACTGTTTAAAAAAATCTTAGATGTTTCCAGTCCACCAGTATTTATTTTAATGTCAACAAAAACATTAAAACATTTCAATGAAAGTATCAAAATATTTTCCTTTGGAGCACTGCTGACAGCGCAGTGATGAAACAATCTGCAATCTGTTGGATCCGCAATATGTTGACCTATCTCACAATCTGACTGTACTCCCCCTGAAATATCAATATGTTGACCTATCTCACAATCTGACTGTACTCCCCCTGAAATATCAATATGTTGACCTATCTCACAATCTAACTGTACTCCCCCTGAAATATCAATATGTTGACCTATCTCACAATCTGACTGAACTCCCCCTGAAATATCAATATGTTGACCTATCTCACAATCTGACTGTACTCCCCCTAAAATATCAATATGTTGACCTATCTCACAATCACAATCTGCACTTCCGCATGTTTTTCTTTAGCAAATTTAGAACATTTCATAATCTTTTCAATTTACAGTTTCTTTGATGAATACTTCCGCAATTGTAAATTATAAATTTTAATATTTAAAAAAGAAAAGATTTTTTCTCATCGTCAGTCTTAATGCTTTACTAAGCATACAATTTTTCAAAAGTAGGGTCATTACGTCAAAATTACCTTAATCTCTAATATTTTTATTTATAATCGTATTGAAATACAAGATTGCCAATTGCAATGCAACAACAGTTAGATTCCTGCCATTTAACGCAATCTGGCATTTTCTACTCTGAAAATGTTTTTACATCCCCTTCCACATAAATTCAAACTGCTGAGATTGTTACAACAATTTTTAATGTTGGGTCGTCTTTAAAATGTAACAACCCCTTGGTTATTGATTTTACCTCACTCATTCTTTATTTAGCCCTAGATATGTACATTTTAACACTTTAAAGTCATTATTTTTAACGAGACCGTTCACTGATTTGGGTAAATTCAGGGTAAACTAATCAGCCTGTTAGTTGTTAATTGTTTTTTGTCTTACTTTTCAAAGACAACTGTAGCCGGAGAAAAGGCCTATTTTCCTATTCAGAATTTGAGCGCACAGGGACGGTCAATAGCTAATCAGCTATTTAGTTTACCCCGAAATTTCCCGAATAAGTGAACAGTCTCTTTAATTTTAGTTTTTTAAGAAGTAAAAGAAAAAATGCCATAGATTTTTGCGTGAAAGCTTGCAACCTTTAGATCGCTTTGGGAGAGATTGCAACCTTTAGATCTCTGTGCTCCCTCCCCCCAACCCTCAACCTTTAGATCTCTGTGCTCCCTCCCCCCAACCCTCAACCTTTAGATCTCTGTGCTCCCTCCCCCCAACCCTCAACCGTGATATTCAAATTTTTTCTGAATTGAATGTTGAACTTTCAACCAACGTAATATCAGCATATAACAGAACCACAATTATCTCTTATGTGTACAAATGAGGAATTCAAATGATTTGAATGTTTAAAAATATTCATTATTTAAGACAAACATTGAAATATGATATAATAAAAATCCCTAAATCTTTAGTTTTGTATTATTGATTTAAATGGCTCTGTCTCTATTTGTTATAATTGGTAGGTTTTATGGCATTAGTTCGGCTTTACATTTTGAGGGACTGTACACATAATTTCAAGGGATAGACAAAATTTCAAGTAATAGACATAATTTCAAGGGATAGACATAATTTCAAGTGATAGACATAATGTCAAGGGATAGACATAATTTCAAGTGATAGACTTAATTTCAAGTGATAGACATAATTTCAAGTGATAGACATAATTTCAAATGACCCTTCATTAATAGAGTAGTAACTAGTAGGTCCAATTCCCAACTGTACCTTTAATCCTAAGAAGAATGAAGAAGACTTCTTTATTTTTAAAGATTTAAATTGATCATTTTTAATTGAAGTTTTTATAAGTGATTTGTTTAACGTATGTATGTTACATTTTTCAATATGGAAAAAACGACGATATCTTCTAATTGTATCTGAGATAGAAGTTTCAAGTGTGGTTTTGTGAATCAGGCACCCCATTTTTTAATCAGAGGGTCACTTGAATTTGTGACAGTCAAATCTTGATTCTTAAGTTTCAAAAATGTGTGTGATCTGAGGTTAATTAATTGATAATTAATTAATAAAATAAAGATTTTACATTGTGCAGGTTATTACTGCAACACACTCCTCCTGCCGCTTTAGTAATTGTTAATTGGCGGTACAGTCCAGACAAGGACTGCAAAGGTTGGCCCAGCTCGGATATTTAAATGTACACCGGTTGTGCATGCATGGCAATGTCACTTAATAAGACAAAGATGTTGTGAATAAGTGTGAACCGGATATAAAATAAATGTGAACCGGACATAAAATAAATAAGAACCGGACACAAAATAAATGTGAACCGGATATAAAATAAATGTGAACATGACATAAAATAAATGAGAACCGGACACAAAATAAATGTGAACCGGATATAAAATAAATGTGAACCGGATATAAAATAAATGTGAACCGGACATAAAATTAATGTGAACCGTACATAAAATAAATGTGAGCTGGACATAAAATAAATGTGAACCTGATATAGAACAAATAAGAACCTGACATAAAATAAATGTGAACCGGATATAAAATAAATGAGAACCGGATATAAAATAAATGTGAACATGACATAAAATAAATGTGAACCGGACAAAAAATAAATGTGAACTGGACATAAAATAAATGTGAACCGGACATAAAATAAATGTGTTGTTTCAAACATTCTTGGTTCCCTACGGCTCCTAGCAATTGTTTCTCTTCTTGGCAAATTATTTAGTGAATTATTTAAAAAATATTTACAAGCCAGAACACACATTTTACCTCAGCAGAGCGTCAAATTTAATGAGTTCTAGGTCACTGTACACTGTACACTGTACACTGTACACTGTACACTCCGGTTAAAATATGTGAGGTCATAATAAAAGTATCATTCTTTGTGGTTAACCCTGTATTTACCTGTCAGGGCTAAGACGAATATGAAGATAAGCAGAACCATTTTAGTTCATTCTGAAAAAAAAAGATTTTTTCAACACATTATGACATTATGACTTGTTAGTCCGTCAATGACCTGTCAAAGAACTAACTGTTACCATTGTAAATCCCCTGTTTGCATGGAAGATGCCTTGAAGTTACGATTACACTCCCTTTGCATAATTCTCTTATTAAATTGAACCCTTCATCACTTTTTTTATACCATTGATCTATATGAACCCGCGGTTGCATGTTAACTCTAAATTTTTAACATACGTCTACGCATATGCGTTTTGCGTATCTCTGTGCAGCTATATTTGTAGAAAATTATATAGCTCCAATCAAGCTCTGTAAAATCTGCAAGAATATATTTTAAATTAGAAAATTTGATTTTTAAATTTCTTTCATAATTATTCAGTATTACAATTATTAGATACATTCAGTTAATAAAAAAGCTAAATAAGTATAAAGTAGCCAGCTGGTAAAAATGTATATTTTTAAATGATAAGAATAAAAGTTGGTGGACAAGGTAAACCAAACTTCAAATATAATCACGTCTGTAAAAATTAAAGTTCATCCACATTATTTAAATTTTTTTGCACCATTTTACTAAATTACTTATAATTTATTTCATTTTTATTTAATGTTTTAGTTTATAAGTTTAACATGTTGAATCCAACCCATCCTCTTTCTTCTCAGCCACCCCCACCCTCTCTCTCTCTCTCTTTAAATACTGTTCTGTTTATGTTTTTGTTAACAATGTGTAGAATGTGAACTATCTGTTGATATGTTTGAAACAACTTAAAACATTGACCACGAAACAAAACTGACCTTTTTACAGAACAATTTAAGGAAGATTTAAATCCTTTTAAAAACAATGAAGATTAGGAACACGTGGGGCGGGAAGGAGATTCGGAGAGGGTAGAGATGGGAATCGTTTTTGTCAACGAACGAAATTTTTCGTGAGCGATAAAGTCGTTTAGAGAAAAATGAACGATGGACGAACGTCATGGATCATTCAGAGAATTATACACCCTATCGTTTATTAACCGAACTAACAAAATTTAACATCATTCAATTGATCTTGAAAAAAACGATAATTTTTTACAGAAAGAACGAAATTTCTAAAAGATTTAAGAAAACATAATTTTTTCAAAAGAATTTCAAACAAACTTTTAAAAAAACTTTTGTTTTAAAAAAAGAACGATTTTATTAAATGAAAAATTTTACTGAACTAACGGTTTTACTGAACAAAAGATTTTATAGAACAATCGTTTAGTGAGAAAACGAAGGAAATAGATGAAAAATCGAGGAGAAATAGAAAATGAAGAAGAATAAAAGCAAAAGAAGGTTAGAAGACAGAGATGAATCAATGTTGCCAAGAATGAAAAAATGTATGTAGTATTAGAAAAAAAATCAAGAGAAAAAAAATAAAACAAAAGGAGAACAACATAAAAACAAGAGAAGAACAATATAAACCAAGAGAAGAACAACATAAAACAAGAGAAGAACAACATAAACCAAGAGAAGAACAATATAAACCAAGAGAAGAACAATATAAAACAAGAGAAGAACAACATAAACCAAGAGAAGAACAATATAAAACAAGAGAAGAACAACATAAACTAAAAGAAGAACAATATAAACCAAGAGAAGAACAATATAAAACAAGAGAAGAACAACATAAACCAAGAGAAGAACAATATAAACCAAGAGAAGAACAATATAAAACAGGGAAAGAACAACATAAACCAAGGAAAGAACAACATAAACCAAGAGAAGAACAACATAAACCAAGAGAAGAACAATATGAAACAAGAGAAGAACAATATAAAACAAGAGAAGAACAATATAAAACAAGAGGAGAACAATATAAAACAATTGAAGAACAATATAAAGCAAGAGAAGAACAACATAATCTAAGAGAAGAACAACATAATCTAAGAGAAGAACAACATAAAACAAGAGAAGAACAGCATAACCTAAGAGAAGAACAGCATAAAACAATAGAAGAACAGCACAAAACAAGTGAAGAACAGAATAAAACAAGAGAAGAACAGCATAAAACAAGAGAAGACCAACATAACCTAAGAGAAGAACAGCATAAAACAATAGAAGAACAGCATAAAACAAGTGATCAACAGAATAAAACAAGAGCAGAACAGCATAAAACAAGAGAACAACAGCATATAACAAGTGAAGAACAGCATAAAACAAGAGAAGAACAGCACAAAACATAAGAAGAACAGAATATAACAAGAGAAGAACAGCATAAATCAAGAAATAAACAGCATAAAACAAGAGAAGAACAGCATAAAACAAGTGAATAACAGAATAAAATAAGAGGATAACAGCAAATAACAAGTGAAGAACAGCACAAAACAAGAGAAGAACAGAATAAAACAAGAGAAGAACAGCATAAAACAAGAGAAGAACACATTTTTAAATAAAAAGTTTGCTTAAAGACAAAACATTTGCAATGACTGCATTTAGTTAAAATGTTTCTTTTCTCTTTATTACCGTAAATCATGGTTCAGTAGTTTGCAAGGTTTATGAATCATCTTGAATTATTTATGGTGTAAAATGAGCCAATGCGCAATTGAGTTGTTTTATAAAGGGGGGGGGGGCAATTATTTTTTGATTGTGGCAAACCGCGGGAAATAAATAACTCACACCACACCAAATAGATTCTAGTTCAATAGATGGCAACATAGAATTTGTACACTCTCAGTACAGCTGTATTCTGACGTCACAAGTGTCAATTCAGTTTTTGTGTCCGACCAAATTATAAATGATAGTGATAATTTTAGTATAAAGTGCTTATCTTACAGTAAAATAAGTGCAATTATATGTGTTCTTTATTTTCTGTTTTTACACTTTTTTATTTAATCTTCGAAAACATGTCAGCTAATGTGAGAAAATTTCGTTTTTCTTGTTATATTTGACACTTGTGACGTCGTATATAATTGGTTTATTTCTCTGTTACCACCTATTGTACTTGATAATCTATTTGCACCTTACCACTAACATAATTTTCTAATCCCTATGTTTTTGTAACCTGATGGCTTAAAACCATAAGGATCTCTAACAGAATTCAAATTGTGAAGCATTAAGGCCCATTATGAACGCTAAATTAAATGCTGAATCATATCTAGAATCTAAGTATCCACATTTTATTTGTTACATAAGAGAATAAAAGCTGAATTCATTTCCTGCATTTTAAACAAGTAATTTCCCGCATTTCTAGTTAAATCACCATTTTTTTTTTATTTTAAAAGAACATTAGGTTTTTTTTTCTTTTTGGTTAAATTTTACCCTTTCAGCAAATCTTTTTGTATGGCGTAAGTGCGTACCATACTTGAAAATTGACATTGATATGAATTCGAGTAATTGTCTCAAACCAGGATATGTTTAAAAAACGCGGTATGAGCTGCAATGTGTGAATTGTTTCAAATTAGTAATATATTCGAAAATGAAAACAAATGAATATTAAATGTATGGTGTAGTTTTGTTCAACTCGCCTTGGATTTAAAGAGATAAACGTTTGAAAAAGATAACTTTTGGCCCATTTCTAACAACACTGAGTGTTTGAAATGAGCCAAGTGCAAAGCTCTTTGGCCAAGTGTTAGTTTTGGAACTAATATCCCCTGGAATGTACTGATTCATGAGAATTTCCTCGCAACTATGTAATCCTTTAGAGCAATGTCCCAAAAAGTTTGTTGTTGTTGATAGAGTCGGATTAGTGAACATATACTGCAGTTAATAAAGGAAATGAAGAGTTTGATACGAAAGTTGTAATGAAAACTCTGCAGTACAGCGAAAATCTGCAGTACAGCAAAACTCTGCAGTACAGCTAAACTGGAAATAAAACATTTCTTAAATATATTCAGCTTGAAGGGAGAGTCGTTGTAAAATCAAATGACTCTTATAGAGGCATGTACGATGCACAACAAAACCTCTAAAACCTTTGTCATTTTTGAAGAAAAAAAACACAATTAAAAATAATTAGTTTTCAAAATTATACACATAGTTGTCTAATTCTTACATGACCAGACAACATTTTAAAAGGCACCATTTTGAATAGGACCTGCCACTCTATAAATGGAGGGTCCTGTGAATAGGACCTGCC